TCAGCAACTTTTTCTAGTGTTGCTTATCTTTTCCTTCACATTTCGTTTTGATCCCACAGATGCCCAATATCTTTCCACATCCCCTGTTTCCATGCAGCAGTCTGAAATCTAGAGCTGCAGGGATGTTGTTTCCTTATCTAAGTCAGTGTTATCCAAGGAAGGCAAATTTTCCAAGTGCACATAGAAATTTTCAGGCAGAAAAGGTCACCTGAATTATTTCTGTGTAACAGAACATCCTGATGATAATTGTGCAGTACAAAGTATTGATCATGTCTCAGAGTATATTGCTGTGCTCACAGTTTGGGGGTTGTGTTATTGCTTTTTTAAGGAAGTGCAGCATTTTTAGATGTGAAAGCAGAGAAGTGTTGTATTTGAGACCATATTTAGATATATGAGATGGTTAGAATGGCCTTAAGAAATGATTGTATTATCCAGAATCTAGTTTGATAAAAAATAGCTAATCAGCATTTTCTTATTTCATACTGTTTTGTGTATTGCCATTGCACTTGGAGCATTTAAACTCCTGCCAGAATATCTTTTTCCTGTGGGCCAATAACTTCAGACATTGTATTTGGACACAGCTTTGGTCTGCTGAGGAGTGAGGATGTTTGAAGCTTGTTCTGTGCCTCACCCAGGTCTTTACACTTGCATTATTTGCCCTAAACCTCACAGATTTGTTCCTGCTTTTGAAGTGAGGAGCAAAGTTAAATGCTGCACTGTCGAATGCTGTTTCTATTTAAGAATTTTCAGATGTAAAAGAGAAATGGGTTTTCATGTCTTTTACTTTCCTGCACTTAGCAACTTTTATGATTCCTTGGCGTTTGTCAGGAGGAAAGTAGATGGCAAGTGTGTTCCTGAAGAATGGTAATCATTGCTATTTCAGGTGGATCAGAGACTCTAAGCGGACACAGGAGATTTTTAGGACGGGAGATTTGCTTAAAAAACATTTTTATGTCTTTTTTGGGGATGGAAGTGGGGAGTGACCACCTGGTATTTTTTCTGCTTGTTTGTTTTTAAGAAGTGGAGAATTAGTACATGTTAAACATGAATGTGGCTTTTAAAAAATTTTTGGATGATGTGAGCAATGGGCTTTGTTTTCATTAGTAGTTTTCCTCTCATAAAACCAGAGAAACAAGTCCATGGGATGCCAGAGAACATTTATATCCATTTTCTGACTTTTATTTCCATGGAGGAGAGCGTGGGGAGGGAAGGGCATGGTTGGTGTTCCACCTGCACATATGTGCATGCACTGCCACAGGTCCAACTTTATTTGCTTTACTGCAGTTGTCTCTCCTTTAACCTGAGCTGTCACACACTGCCAAGTGCTGATGTGCAGAGAAATGCAGATTGAGATCAGTTCAGGGTAACTCCTCACAGAGTTGCCATTGCACCCATGGATTTCTGTTGTTTTAAAAAAGCAAAGTATTGCACTGCCTTTGGTTAAGTAATGCATTAGAAAAAATATCAGAACTTTGCCAGAGGAACTAAAACCAAACACAGTTTATTTTGCTGATTTAAATTGCCTCAAATTGAAGAATTTATCCTGTGGCTTAGCCCATTCAGCCCTCCTTTTGTGGTACTGGCACTGACCAATTTACAATTTGCAGCATTCTGATTAGTTTTTCTGTAGGAACAAATGGTTCATAAAAGATTGATATGTGTATCCCTTGCTGTTAAACACAGCCATGTGTTACTTTGGGATAAATCTGCCTCAGCCTGGTGTGTTCCTAAAAAGGCAAATGGTTTTGTGTGTGGATTTGAATGTTTTGGGGGTCAAAAACAAGCTCTAATTGGAGTTAGTCCTCTCAGCTCATGCCATGAACTAACTGATACAGTCCATGGGCATCACAATATGAATCCCTTTATGTATTTATATACCACTGGAATCCTGAATCATAGAATCATAGAATTTAGGGGTTGGAATGGACCTTAGAGATCATCTAGTCCCAACCCCCTGCCCTGGGCAGGGACAGCTCCTCACTAGATCAGGTTGCTCAAGGCTCATCCAGCCTGGCCTTAAAAACTAATGCCCTGGGCAACCTATGCCGGTGTCTCACCACCCTGAGAGTAAAAACCTTTTTCTCACATCCAACCTGGACTTTCCCTCTTCAGTTTGAACCCATTTCCCCTTGTCCTCTCACTGCAGTTCCTAACACAGAGTCCCTCTCTGGATCCCTTGTAGGCTCCCTTAAATAAGTCTGAATTTCTTTAGGTGAAGGAATGTTACCATAGGTAACTTTTTCTTGGTGTTTCATCAAACACTTACAATCTAATATCCCAAATGTTGTTTAACGTTGTTGTTGGCATTGAAGAAAAAACTTGTATTGCTGATTTCGATTCAAAAATACACCCAAAAATTCTTTCGAATCATAGCAAAAACTGCCTGAAAACATTTTCCCAAGCCATAAAAAAAAACCCCAAACATTTGTTCATGGCATTTCTTTCTTAGCTGCTGTTTCTCAGTTAATATTCCTGAGTGAAAGATGTCGAGGTAATTAAGCATTACAAGAAGGAGCAGTTAGCAGGTATAATGTTGTTCGACTTCAGCTAATGTGGATGTGACCATGACCTCCCAGATAGATCAAAGCCTAATCTGTCTGACAGCTACAGGATGGCAGAGCTTGCCACAGGCCTCGTGCTGCTGCCTGCCGAAGCTATTTGTCTGTAAAGCATGCCTGATAGCTAGGAGTATGTTTTTAAGGATGAACAGGTAGAAGTAAAAGGCTGTCTTTTGACATTTTAACTAATCCCTTCTAGCCTGTGGTTTGCTGCACATTTAGGATATTTGCTAGCAGGAGAGAGTGGCTTTTTCACATATGTAACATGTCATTTTGAATCGGGCGTTGATTTGATGGTTGGTAATGCAGGAGTTATACAATGAAATAGATTCTGATTGCATTAAAATGACATGCTCTGCCCTTTTACCTTCAGCAGGCTCCGGATGAAAGCTGAACTCTCAGCAATGTAACTTGTCATCTCCTGCTGAGACGTGATCATTTAAGTGAGAAAACAGAAGGTTTATTTGCTGTTAACCCTTTTAGAATGGAAGTGGGAAAGGGAAGTTTGCAAGGTGCATCACACATTGGGACCAGGAGAATTTGGGGGGCTGTATAATTTGGGCAATGAAATGGCACAAGCAGTAAACACACAGTGCTAATATCTATTAGAAGGATGTAAAAGTGATGTATTTTATTGAGCAGACCTCACTGCTTTGCATTCTGCTGTTACTTCTGTGGATTTGATGCACATAATTAAAAATATCATGATTTTTTTTCAGCATAAGACACATGGCTAGTTATTCTGTTAGTGTTTTGAACAGTTTGTTAGCAAAGTAGGAGACTTATAAAGATACATCTGTTCCAATTGGCCAAAATCTTAGTGCTAACAAATTCTTCACAAGAGAAAATGGTTATAAAACTTACCAGGACTAGAGGACAAATGTGCAGGATTTGTACAGGAGCATATTATTGCCATTGGTTATGTTCTAACAACTTCAGTGAATTTTCCAGCATCCTCCCTCATTTCCAATAGTGAGGAATACCCTTTTGTTTCTCCAGGTACTATTTCCATGTGTAGAAATGCACAGATATACCCAAATTCCTTCTTAAGGAGTGGTTTTAGTGTTCATAAACTGTTCAGAAGGAATCATCTTCCGTTTGGAAAATGACAAAGGAAACCTCACCTGCCAGTCAATAAATTCTGAGTGACTGGAGCAAATATTAAATCTGTGAAATCAAACTGAATTTACTTTCTGGCTGTAAAGATTGAATTTGTAAATTTGACAGGCAATTCAAAGGGCATAAGTACAAAAAATAAAATTTCTTATCCAAATGCAAGTTACCTGTCAGAAGAGGTTAGAAGTCTGCTGGTTTCTCTCCTGAAGCGTGTCCTTTCACTTGTCAGTTTAGAAAGGTTAATACTGTACAAAAGAGCAATGCAAAGACCCTTTTTCCTGTAGTTTTATGTTTGTTTAAAAAAAAAAAATAAAATTCAGACCTCCTCTGTGACTAACAGCAATGAATCCTGTGGATATGTGTTGGAGCAGTGTAGTTCAAATGCAAATTGGTGGTCCAAGTCAGAGCTTTGTACGTGTAGTTATCCGTGTGATTGGGAAGGGGAGGCAGATTTCTTTTGCAGCTGATTCCAGCTCTGCTTTTGAAACAGCTGGGAGAGTGTTTTTAGAACAGGGGAACGTGCTCCTCTCTGCCTTGCACTAACCCATGGCCTACAAGCCTTAGCTGCTGCCCTTGCTCCTCCTTAGCCAGGGAAATCTTTCCTGACCACAAAAGGTGATGCCAAGCTAGGAATTAGGGTTGGTATCTGGTTCTGATACTTTGGAGAGGCCACTCTATCTCTAATAAGATTTTTTTGGAGAGGGTGCTCAGGCATTGGAATGTGCTGCCCAGGGAGGTGGTGGATTCACCATCCCTGGAGGTTTTCAAGCTGAGACTGGATGTGGCACCTAGTGCCATGGGCTAGTGACCACAGTAGGGTTGGACTCGATGATCTTGGAGGTCTTTTCCAACCTGGTTGGTTCTATGATTCTATGATATTTGCTTTACCCTCCCTTGGGAAAAGCATAGTCTGGGCCCAGCAGCAGCCTAGGATTCAGTGTTCATGATAAAGGGAAGGATAGAGATCTTCATTGTGTCATTTCCTTTCAGGTGAGCCAACCAAACTGTGGTCTGGAGTCCATCTACTTGTATCTGGGGTTTTTTTGCCCTGTGTGAACAGCTTATCTTTCCCTTGCTGGCACAGAGATTTGTATGTGTGTGTGTGGTGCTTGTCATTAGATTGAAACTATCAGAACAGATCATTTCTAAGATTAATTTTATAAGGGTACAAGCCAGGAGTGGTTAGTATGCAAAATATAGAGTTGAGATACTGAAACACACTTGATATATTCTCCTATTTGATCAATGTTTGCTTGTTTTCCACTTTTAGAGTCTTTCCTTTTCGACATCATTAATAACACCAATGTTTTATGATTTCTTCCTTAGGTTGAATTAAAGAGGAAATACAATGACCAGCACAAAAGTACAAGAGGCCTTTTATCAGGGAGTCAGTGGTATGAAATTCAAGCTTATAGAGCTCTCAACCAAGCCCTGGGAAGGTGAGATAAACTCAACAGAATTAAAAATAGATGTATTTGTAGAATTGCTTTGTGAAATTTTTGAGGATTAATTCCTCACTGTTAACACAAAGGGGAGAAATAAGGCAAAAATCCTCATATTGCAGAAATTGTCTCCAGCTGCTCTGTGCTGGTAACTCTTGTTTTTAGCCTGTTCTGCCCTGGAAGCTCTTTGGTTTTCAGCCTATTGTGCATCTGAGCATTGTTATATTTCAGAGTGTTTGTTTTGCCTTCAGAATCCACTTCAGTTTGGTTGCACTTTCATTGCCTGTAGTGCAGATATCCAGAAAGGAAAACATTAGCAGAGACAAATAGTTCTTAAGCTTCTAAACCAAAGGAAAATTCTTGGGTCCTTTCAGATGCACTAATTGTTCACACTCTCAGTGGGCTCAGAACAGTTGCTTGATGTTTAGCCTACAAGTATTTTTGAAAGGGAGAAATAGCAGAGGGGTTTTCAGACCTTTGCAAAAGGTCAATTCAATTATTGTGCTCACTGATCTCTTTCCACATATAGAAGAAGTGGTACAGCTGCCTTTCCTGGATGGAAAAATTCCCCCAAATTTTATTAACAGGCTAGAATTAATTCATCCTTCTCCAACAAAATTTATCATCTACATAAAGATTTTAACTCTGTCATCCATATCCATCACAGATGCCTTGAATCAGTCATGGACACACAGAGAGGTACAGACACAGATTTATTGATGAGAAACATCAGCTGGAAGACTCTTGTTGTCTGAATTAGACCCAATAAAAATATGATGACAGAAAATGGAGAGAAATAGTAACATTAGTAAAATCTCATTGTGGATTTTGTTTACAGGTTTGATTCTGCTTTGGAATACAAGAGCATTAGTGAAAATTGCTTCAGAAAAAATCTCAGAGTTGTGGGAGGCTAATAGTAAGAAATTAATCTGAAGTTTTGTCATTGTGAAAGAAGTTTCAACTTCAATCTGGTTTTAGTGGAAATTGATTATTGTCTAATTTATCGATTGACTGGAATTACCCTGGTCTGAAATGGAGACAACTGACTTCCCTCCTGATGTAAATGTGTCAACTGTGTGCAGAAATTTAGTGCTGTTCCATTCTATGCAGTATGAAAAAGTGAGAAGTTGGAAGAAATCTATTTCTTACAGATTTTTGGTAGCTTTTCTTGTCACTGAGAGATTGAAATAAAATAAATACTTTTGTGGAGAACCAGCCTGGTCACTCCAGTCTGAGGTCCTGATACAGAAACACTTGTGCTTTCATGTGCATTTGTAAACATCAGCTTCAAAAAAATGTACATAAAACTCCTTATACCATGGGGAAAATAATCCTGAGCTATTACTGACAGATTCTTTTCCATATTTTATGTATATTTTCACTGTTCTCTAATGATTTTTTTCTGGCAGGCAGCATAGAAATCCAAATAATGCTAAAGATAATATCAACACATGAGAAAGTACTATTAGATGCTTTCTGTAGGCCTCTCACAGCTGAATTAGGAAGTCAACACTATTTGATCTGTAGCATCATTCATTCATGTAGGGATCTCAGAGCACCTTCCAGGAGCTGAAGGGGCTCAGGGAAGCTGCAGAGTGACCCTGGGTTAGGAGCTGCAGGGACAACAGGACAAGGAGGAATGGGGAGAAATTTAAAGAGGGAAAGTTAGATTAGGTATTAGGAAGTTTTTCCCTGTGAGGGTGGTGAGACAGTGGCACAGGTTGCCCAGGGAGTCTGTGGCTGCCCCAACCCTGGCAGTGTTTATTCCAGGTTGGTAAAGCCTTGAGCAACCTGCTCTGGTGGGAGATGTCCCTGCCCAGGGCAGGGGTTGGGGCTGGAGGATCTCTAAGCTCCATCCCAACCCCTTGACACACTATGAAACCATTCCCTTACTAAAGAGAGTTAGGAATAACCTGTGGGTTTTTTTTAATTGAACTGTTTTACACAGTAAATTGAACAACTGAAGGAAAATGAAGCTTCCATGACATCCATAACACTTTTTGGTGCATACAGTAGCATTTCGTGTATAATTTCGCATTTTCCAGCTGACTCACTGCAATCCCTGTTGCCTGATCCCCGTGGATTCTTACTCTGTGCCCTCTAATTACACACACACTCTTTTTTTTGCTGCTCCTTTGTAGGTGCATCAGGCACAGGAATGACTGGGGTGCTCTCATTTTAGTTGACGATCGGTTCCAGAACAACCCAAACAAATACATAATTGGTAAGCTGTAAATATCTCTCTGGGGAAGCTCCTAATGTTATACATAGTGAAAACTCATGATTAGATAAATATGTTTGTATAAACACAGGTGAGTAGGAAAAGTCATAATAAAATACATCCAGTGAGCACAAATTGAACCACCAAGTATGCAAAAAGGATTTTCTGTGGTTTTGTGCTGGGAAGAAATAACTGCAGATAAAATAAAACAGGTGATGGACACTAAGTTAAAAAAAAGAAAATTAAAAAAGAAATGCTTAGGAATGTGGTTTTGTCTTTTTTCCTGCCCTGTTTGGGTGGGATGGGCAAAGCTGAGGAGACCAGTCCATGCTCCACTGGAGTCAGCAGGTGGAGCTCAGCTGCTGCACTTGGAGTCCAACTGCTCCTCTGACCTGTCTGTACTGAAAACACAGCTTAATTACTGAAGTGAACAGAATTATTTCATAGAGTAATCTGTGTTCAAGATTTGGTAAGATTGCTTTCTCTAAAAAAACTTCACAGAAGAATCAAATCTCTGTTGTCATTTTAAATTGGTATTAAAAGAACATTTAAGTGGGTTTAAAAACACTTCCATGCATCAAGGGAGTGAGTTTTTAACCTCACTCTTCTGTTCCAACATTGTCTAAACAGTTGTGCTCACGATGTTGGTGTTTGATTAAATAAATGTAAAAATGGTATTCAGGTGCTATTTACTGATGGGAAATCCTTGGTATAAATGCTATCATTTCGTAGTGACACTTCTTTTTTTTTCTTAGGATTATCTAAGTGGATTCGTCAGCAAGTCGAGCACCACAGAAAGTTTGAGAATGCCCTTGAGTCCCTGCATGCCTTTGCTGTAAGGAACCAGAAAGGCAGTGACTGTCCCTCAGAGCACAACAGTGAACTCCTCCATGTGCCTCCAAAAGACCTGTCACAAGGCTCTGAACACGAGGCAACTATTCATCTGTCACCAGATGTTCCTGCTAAAAGTACAGAGCAAAATTTGCGTTCAGAAGGTAATTTTACTAAAACCATCAACTCAGTTAATCCTGCAGCAGCGAATCAGCCAAGTCACATCCAGGCAGCAGGGAAACAAAGTGTGTTCATTTCCTGTGGAAAACCTTCATTAGCAATTTGAGATGTGAAGTTGTCTCTTTTTTGGAAGAAACAAATGTGTTTTAAGATTACAGAAGGGCTTTGGTGGAAAATGATAATCATTCACAAATGTGTGTGAGCTGTGCTCAACAGACTGAAATTAATTGTCATTCCATCTGCTTGTCTTAAAACAGTTGGTAATGTTTGATGGGTTTGTAGCACCATCAAAAATGTTTTCACATCAGTTTCTTTTATCATTGGCAATTCTGAAGAGAATTTAAAATGTATTTGAAACATATAAAGATGAGAAGGATGGCAGGATGAGTGCTCTGGTTCAAGCTGCACCTGTAGTTTAGACAGTGCTCTGTGATCTCTAGTAACAGCTCCACAAGGAAATACCCATTCCTAAATTTTAGGAGGGCTTATGACTTCGTTTCAGGCAAGAAAGATGTGAATAAGATAAGAGCATAATAAGAAATTGCAAATCTAAAATCCAGTCATATCTAACTGTACATGTGCCTGTTAATCTAGTGGTTTAATTAAGACAATTCCTGTGCAAAGATAGCTGTAACATCTGGGCTTTTGTTTGTGTTGTTCCTAATGAGTGTCATCAGCCAGCTGCAAACTTGCTAAAGCTGTGGTGATTTTGGTGTGCTAAATAGTGTTAAGCAGTGGGGAAGGCATAGACAATTAATTCATGTTTTGTAATTTTTCACAGGTGGCCAGAAAGTTAGTGTAGAGAGTCATTCTCACCAGGCAAAACAAAGAAGAAAACATAAGAACCCCACAACCAAAGTGCCAACAGCTAAAATAGAGAGAGAAGAAAAGAATGGTTGGACTAATGCTGAGAGTATGGAAGGGAATTGCTGCACTAAACCACTGACTTCAACACCTTTGCCTGTAGCCCAGAACTGCAGGTCCACAGCTGGTAGCAAACAAGAGGATGTGGATGGGCCTAGTGAACTTGTTGACAGTGTAAATCAGTGCCAATCATTAACTGCAGAACTCAACCCAAGGGGACCAGAACCGTGTTTGGAAACAACTCATTTTTCAGTTCAAATGACTGAGGCCTCAGTTGCTGAAGGGTGTCCTGGTAAGCCACAGCTTCAAGCTGAGCCCTGCAGTGAGTTTCCCTCAGCAGGAGAGGAAGCTGAACTTTCAACAATAAATGTGTCTGCAGAAGCTGAAGATGAGGATGAGAGTATCTACTTCACTCCAGAACTCTATGATGCAGAACCAGAGGAAGAGAAAGCTGAACCACCGGTTCCAACCTGTAATGGAAATGAGAATTGGGTTGAATGTGGAAACTCCACAGTTGCTGATGAGCTTTTTGCAATCAACACTTCAGAAGCACTAAATGTGACTAAAAAACTGGTTGAGGATGATGGCAGGAGCACGAGGTCACATGGCATAGTGCAGAATGAGAGGAGTAAGGATAGTGCAGTGAATCCTCTAGAGATGGCTAGTGCAGTGGGAGCAGAGCAGAGAGCAGCTCAGGAGATGGACACCACAAAGCAGAGAATCAGTCTCTCCAGGTCACAGAACAAAGGTGTGTCATCTTTTCTACTGAGCAGTCGTAGCACATGGGGACAGTTTCTATAGTCAGAGTGAGCAGCTCTTACAACATTGTGCCATGGCAGAGCAGTGAGGGCTTTCTCCTCATTTAACAGAAGTTAGTCTCCATTTCTCCTTGTACTGTTTTGTTTCCCACTGTGGAAGTTATGCAACATGCAGTTTTCTGTAGGTACAATCAGATTCTTCTCCCTAACTGCATGGCAGAAGGACATCATGTCTGGGAATCCTAAACAGAAGCCCAAATAGGATCTGATTTGTCATTATCAGCTGAGGAGGTTTGGCCATTACAGATTTAATTAATCCATCATTAAATACAATCAGATAGTTGTGGTTTTCCTCAGAAAGCAAAACACACATATCAAATTAGGTTTTTCTGCATTTGCTGGGCGGGTTTTTTTATTAAATATATAGAACAGAACCTTTGCAGATCAAGTCATGATAGGTTGAGCCTAAATACCAAAAGAGATGTGTTCTTCAGTACTTTGTTTCCCTCAAATTTCTTATGTCAAAATATCAGGAGCTGTGTACTGTAGTGGTTGAACATTGGGATATTTGGTGATGATGTAAAGCTTCTTCAGAGGTCTTTATTTGTTTTCTATGTAAGTTCCTATAAGTTTTTCCTTTTTGAGAGGATCTTATTTCTTTGGGTCACACTGTGTATTCATACCAAACATGTTCTCATTTGTATGCCCTGCAGACACCTTTTACCTGCAAGATATACCAATGTAAATTTGTACATAAAGGTCTTTAAATATTCCTCTGTCTTTTTTTTTCAAGTATTTTAAATCTTTGTTTCACTTATTGCAATCAAAACAGCCAGAATTTTTCTATAATAAAACATACTGTGCCTGACTTCTCAGGAAAAGATTGTTCCTTTCCATCATGTATGAAAATAGAGGATTTTTACAGTCTTAAGATTGGTTCATAGGCATTTATATATATTGACTGAAAGCAGAGATGAAATTATTGACTGGTCATTTTCCAGCCAAGTTCATCTAAATAACTCTCTGACATCCATCTCTACACAGCTGTGAACGAGCTCCTAGCAGCAGGATTTAAATTGTGCCCTTTCTTTACACAATAAATGCATCTTTGTAAAATGACATACTCTGTTGGCAAGAACAGCAAGAACACTGTTGAGTTTCCTGAACTTGCAGGACTTGGTGTATGGCATTTGGGTGAATTTGTGCTGTATTGATGCCACCTAAGGCTCATGTGTTCTTGGTGTAGCTTTCCTGGTTTTCACTTGATTATTGGATACTGATGGATTTGAAGTAGTTGCTGGGGCAGAAGCAGCTACAGGACTGACAGCTATTTAACCATCTGACTCAGCTGAAGAGAAATATACTCAATTTAGGGTTAAATATCAGTTAATTTATTGTTTGCAACTGTTTTCTGGCCTAGCACTGTCCCCTATCCCCAGCAGTGCTGGGGCAGCCTGTGGCAGGTGGTTTGCAGCCACACTCAAGAGTTGATCAACTTGATCCTCAGGAGTCTCTAATAGCTCAGTTTTCTAAAAACAAATCTGAGCCAACCCACTCTTCATGCTTCTGTATGTCTACATAGATAACCGAAATCGCTTAAGCTTCGTGGCTTGTCTGCTCATCCCACACCCACTCTGTCTAGTTGTCTCTCAGAAGATTTGTCTGTCTTTAAATCCTTAACATTAAAAGGAAAAAAAAGAGGAAAATCCATCTTCCTTTCCTTATCTGGAGCAGATTGGTCCTTTCTTGATCTTGTGTTGCATCTTCCTTTGATTAGAAATCCCTTAAGACAAGCCCTTCCCCATGTCAAATACTTCACACTCAGTTACAAACCCCACAATTTATAGCAAATTTTCCTTCACTTTTCTTTTTAACATCTATATTAAAATATCAGCATTTGACCTACTGGATTCTATATTTTCTTGATAAATTTCTATCCACAAACACTCAAATCCAGAGGGAAAACTGATGATAATAATCTTTGTATTCCTG